GAAGCTTTTGATAATTTTGAGCTAACATTAACATTTATTAGTGATTCTGACCCCCAAAATTAGGGCAGGGGGCATGCATAGGACTCACATCATATTTACCAAAAAAAAAAAAAATGTTGCATTTCTTGGCCTTTTAATAGTATGCTCCACCCTTGTGTTTTTCTCTAATCTCTCTCTTGCTTCCTCCTGTCTCCCTGTATACTTTTTAATCTAGTTCCTCTCTGACCAGCTCCAAGGTGAGGCAGGGCTATGGGCACCTTTGTGAACCTCACAGGCAGCTCAATTACCTCTGCAGGCTGGATACTCTGCTAAAATGAACCTTTTATCATTACAAAATACTCCCCTGGCCCTAGAAAGTGTCTCTTATCTGATCCCCTAATCCCCTACTATCTAGAACACACCTGCTTTTTTTTTTGGGGGGGGGGGGTAGTGGGGATTGAATCTAGGGGCGCTCAACCACTGAGCCATATCCCCAGCCCTTTTTATTTTGTATTTTGAGATAGGGTCTGAGTTTCTTAGGGTCTCACTAAGTTGCTGAGGCTGGCTTTGAACATTGTGATCCTCCTGCCTCATCCTACTGAGCCACTGGGATTTCAGGCAAGCACCACCTACCTACTTCTTTTTGCTTCACTTACATGATAGGTCTCTTCTCATCTTTGTCCCTTCAATTCTTTTGTATCCTGATATTTAAGCTGTGTTGTTTTTAAGTCTCAGGTTGTTCAGTTTTGTTCTTTATCCAGGCTGACAATATGGTCTTTAAAATGGAATGTTTAATCCACATGTGCTTGATATACATACTGATGCATCTGGGTTTAAATCAACCTTCTTAATGTTTTCTCTTGCTCCCATTGGTTCTATGGCGCTTTTACTCCTTACTTGACTTCTTTTGGATTACTTTGCTATTTCAAATTCCCCAGCTATTATCTTGTTACTCTTACATTGTTTTAGGAAATACCACAGAAACTGAAATGTGCCCCCTTGCTTTATTGATTGCTATTTTAGTGTCTTCATCATTTTCCAGACAATTCAAGAACCTCAGAATAACTCGGATCCTGGGCTTTGTTACCAAAAAGTCTTACAAGATTTATTCAGTTTCTCAGCCACTGTCCTTGAATTAGCAAGTGCTTTGAGGGGAAAAAAATGACACCAATTGTAGGTTTCAACTCTGGAATATTGGCTCTTACTTTCTCAACAACCCTCCAGTGCCTTAATAAGTATGCATATTCTGGCTTTTCCAATTTTCTCAGCAGAAGGGTTGGTGTAAGACAAGCTCTTCAGTCTGCCTAAAGCCAGGTCTCCACAAGCCTTATTTGTGTATAATTAGTTACTTTCTAAAGAGTGCAAAATCTGGAGTAGAACAGACACCAGTTCAAATCTGTTATGTACTTACTGTGTGACTTTGGCAAGCTATGTAAATCTTGGTGTTCTCATATGTGTTGTTGTAAGGACTTTTTAAATTGCAGGTATAATGCTTAGCACAGAGCACGAATACAACCAATATTCAAATATCAATAAGAGTTTGAGCATTCTAGTTCATCATCTTATTATTATGTAGCTGGAAAGGATGGCACAAAACCAGCCTCTCCCCTGCATTTCCTCCTTGAGAGGTGGTAACAGGTAAGGACCCTACACAGGTCATAATCTTCCCATTTGTTCATCCTGTGGTTTTAAGATTCTTGTGTGCAATGGCTTGCCACCCCATATGGCAATGTATGCAGACACTGGAAGGTTTATTTTGGAAAGTAGATCCATTGGGGGAAGAGAGAATTTAGCAGTAGGATCAGGAAGTGAGCTTTGACAACATAACTCATGAAGTTGATCCCCTAGACTGGGGCCCCTAGGGTGTACCCCCCAAATGTAACCACAGGGATTTGCTCTGGAAAGAAGAGTCAGAGCTTCTGTGTCCAATCCTCACCATGGCTGAGGCCTCATGGTGCTTGGGCTTCTTCCCATTTACTAATAAGCATCTTAACCAGTAAAGAAACCTGAGGGCTCTGAAACAGGAAAGCTGAGTAGTTACTATGGGCTCCCTCTATAAGAAACAACTTTTTGTCAAGTACTCCACAGTATTTTTTAATAAGACTTGCGTCACTCCACAGAACTTGACATCAACAGCATTACCACTGATTTCTTTGGTTTTAAATGTTTTAATTCTTCTTAAATGTCTGAACATTCAAACATCCAAAGTGTTGGAATAATTCATAATTCATTAATGTGTGAGATGTAAGATCCAATAAACATGCTTTCTACACACTCTGCAGCAGGTTTCCATGACTTTCCCAGGCTGCAGTTCAAGCTTGTGATGCTGGCATTACCACCCACAAAAGGGAGCCCTCTGGCCACACTGGGCCTTCCAAACAACTTGGTAGTTGAGGTAACTACATGCCAGAGCCTGGGCCAGTTTTGCAGATCCCGCACCACTATTCCACACAACAGGCCCCAAGCTCTTACTCAGAACTAAAAGCTGATGTGTGAGTCACCACACTGCAGTACCATGAGGCAAAACTGCCAGTGGGACTGTACAACTGAGGCTGCAAACAGGGCCTTTTCTCCCACTAATTTGAAAAGCCAAATTTCAGTAGTGATGATGAAAAGAGCCAAAGAAACCAGTCAAAATCCTGACGGGTTGTGGCATCAAATGTCACCAAACTACAATGCAAAGGTCCAACTCTCCAGTCCAGAATCACTTTTCTTTTACCCACCTCTCACTGCAGAAAGTCTAGCTTTTAATGTGATGTGTAAGTAATTGTGAGAAGTTCTTAGGTAAGGACTTGTAAATATGCAAATATTAACATGTTCCAGAAACATATATCCTGGCTGTCACCAGCCATCACTTGGTCTAAGAACAGAGCCTAGGCTTCTCTGTGCTGCTCTCCTGCCATCTGGAAATGATCTCTAAGCTACCACAGCCATTTTGACACCATCTGGCCCCAGTATGGACAGAGCCCCTCCCTGAATCATCCAATACACAGCTAACACTGGACTGTAGTTTTTTGTGTTTTTTTTAATATTTATTTAGTTGTAGATGAACACACAGTATCTTTATTTATTTTTATGTGGTGCTGAGGATTGAACTGAATGCCTCACACATGCGAGGCAAGCACTTCACCACTGAGCTACAGCCTCAGCCCCTGGACTGTATTTTTTGATGAGGATTTACTAAGAGTGAGGCTAATATAAGGGAATTAAAAACGTAGGGAACCCCTGGCCACACCCCTTTAAGGGGGATCTATGACTAGGAACTTTCTCCTTAAACCTCAGCCTGAGGCTGCAGTGCAGTGACCTGCTCATTTCTTCCAGAGTAGTGTCCCCCACAATGCCAGTCCCCCACAAATTCCACAGTTCCAATTCTCCTCTCTCTAGTTCCCAACAGAAGAGACAGAACTCCATCTTCTCTCCCCACCCTGACCCTGCCTTAGGATCTGACCCATGGAGCATTTCTGCCAGCATTAACAATTAACTCCCAGATTAAAATTCAGACCCTCTTTCTAGATGCAAGGATTCCATCAGCCCTGAAAAGCCATCCCTAGTCATGGACTCAAACAGCATTCAAACGTACTCCTCTGTTGAATAACTGTTAGTTCTAATTTCTTCCAATTACAAAAAAAAAAAAAAAAATGCCATGAATATCTTGAAAGCTAAATCTCACATGCAGGATATCTTTTCAAACTTTTGCTGATTGAAACGTATGCACTCACTCAGTGTTGAGTTAAATACCAGGCACTCTTCTAGGGCTAGGGATATAATAAATGAGCACAAATACTCCCCAACCTCAAATCCCTCATATGTTGTGGTAAGTCAAATAAAGAAACAAATGTAAACAACATCATCATTAAATGCAAAGAAGGAAATTGTACTTCCAAGGAATGGCTTCCGTAAGGGAACTGGCAATTGTGCTGATGTCCATTCATGATTAATATTAATGAAACAAAGGAAGGGACTATGTTCTGAGCAAAAAGTACAGCAATTTCAAAAGTCCTGGAAGGGGAAAGTGCTGGAATTGGAAGACCAGAAATTAAGAGGGAGCTCAGACTGAAAGGAGGCAAGAGCTACCAGATCTTTCAGGATTTTGTAAATCATGTTAGTTTTATCTTTATTCTAAGAATAACAGGATGACAATGAATGATTTGGCACACAATTTTGCTACTTCACATTCCCCTATAGCTTCAATACCAAGTATCATCTTACAAAGTTGATAGTAACTTCTAGATACTATAGTACTTTGCTCCACCCCCACCACCCCAGTGTTTATCACCCATTTCTTAATTGGGTGTCTTTTTCTTTTTTTAAACTGGACCTCAATTTTTTTTTCTACCGGCTGGAGACTCCATTTATTATATTTTCAATCTTTTTTTTCACCTATTTGTCTTTAAATTATATATGCTAAAATATTACATACACAGCAATCTTTTCTTTTAGGAATTCTGCTATAAAGATAGTTTCTTACCCCAATATTATTTTCCTATATTTTCTACTCATATTTCCATGGTTTGATTCTGAGTCATGATGTCTTCATTGACACATACAGATAGAAGCCTAATTTTACTTTTCAAAGGGTAAACCAGTTACCTCTTGAAATGTCACCTTTAACATTATAAGTAAACAACTTAGATAATAATTCATAGGTATTTTCTAAATCTCCCACTCTGTTCTGTTACCTAACTATACATTCCTATGCCAGTAGTACCTTCATAATTTTACAATGCATTTCACATGACATAAGTTCTCCCATCCACATTTGTTTGATTTTAATTGGCTATCTTATAAAACTTTACTCCTTTCTTATGAAATATTACATTGGCTTTTACAGAGATTTTTAAATAAACTGCAAAGGCTCCAGATTACCTAAGAATTAGGAAATATCCATCAGACAGGAAAAAAAGGTAAACATGACCTTAAAGACTTCAGCAACCCTTCTAAACAACAGCTGAAGTTTACATAGATTTGTGCAGGTAAATAGGTTAGTTACTGAAAGTTTGAACAAATATCCCATAAGACCATTTACCATAATTCATAATTGACTTTTTATTTAAAAAATTACAGGGAGCAATTTCTGGCATTTTTTTTATAAAAGTACTGCCTGTATCAAACATTTTATATCACTGTTAATTCCACTGAAGAGCTGCCTTTTTTTCTTTTTAAAGTACTAATTCCAACAGATGGGATACATGCCCTTAAAATAGAAAGTTTCCATCATTTATTGAAATGTCAAAATTAAGATTATTGACAAGTTTATTGCTTATGGCTGGGCAAGATGCTACTAGCACATTTTAGGTAAATAATATTCTTTATTAAAAACTATGAGGTCATTCTGTTTAAAACTTTCAGGATAATTCACAGAAAATAGATATATTTATTCAAATTACACATTGAAGGGCTGGGCTACTAGCTATAGACATTTATAGTTGAAGCAGCTCTTTAAAGAAATAATATGCCCAAGTAAGTCTGTCTTGATACACTACACATAATTGAAATTAAAAAAAAAAAAAAACCTGGAAGACCAATATTGTTATGCTATGTTCTGTTAGGATCTTTAAAAAAAAAAAAAAAAAAAATCACACATTTAGTAGTCCATTTGTGCTTAAAATATTCATATGAGGAGCTTAAAGAAAAGAACACCTCTGTACATGATGATCAAAAGAAAGTTATAAATTTTTTTTTGAAATTGCACTGTTATTTAAACCACTTTCCTAAAGTCAGACCCTCCTTTGCTGCAGGCACAGTTTTTCAGGTCTAATTGGCAACCTGGGGAGGCCCCTCTGGTATTAGTGACGTAAAGAAGGTGGTGATAAAAGACCAAGCTGAAGCTATTAATCCAGGCCTTTGAATTGCACCGACATCTTCACCTCCATCTTCTCCACTCTCATCATCAAACCCATCATCCATAAGGCGCTCCTTTTAAACAAAACAAGAAACATACTCCTGAGTGATCTGAACCACTGGTATCAACTCACAAAAGAAAAAGAGAGTTAAGTTCTTTTTGGAAAGGAAGAATATGTGCATTTAATCAGAAATGGTTAATACATGGTCACTAGAAATCTTTTTTGGGGAGTTGGGATAACTGGGGCATATTCAGGGGCACTCAGCCACAGACCCACATCCCTAGCCCTATTTTGAATTTTATTCAGAGACAAGTTCTCACTGAGTTGCTTAGCACCTTGCTTTTGCTGAGGCTGGCTTTGAACTTGCAGTCCTCTTGCCTCAGCCTCCCAAGCTGCCATTAGAAATTTTGGGGAAGGTCAAAACTAATAAATTTGAACTTACATATTCTTCAATTTGGTGGTCAAGTTTAAAGGGGAACCCACCAATGTAATGCAATAAAGTCTCATCTTGTGCATAATTTCCTTTTTAGGCCTTTTTCAGGAAGAATGTTAGTCCTTCCCACTTAATTTTAATACATGACTAATCTGGTATTATATTCTAAATTCTCACCAATAAAACCACCAAAATTTATGTTCGCTTTTCTTCACGTGCCATTCCAAAAATATTTACAGAATATGTTGGTCCCACACAATGCTAAGGAAATATCTGTATTTAAAGTTTAACAAAACTTCAATAACATACCATTTCTTCAAGTTCTAAGTTGTTTGCATTTTGCCCATCATTGTTAACATCAATGTTGTTGGGAGCCTGTTGCTGACCTCCTTCTTGCCTAAAAGGAAACCATCCAGCTTGGTGTCTGTTCAGTATAATACAGGAAAGAGAAAATAGGTTGAAATTGTTTTTATTTGTAACATTACAAAACATTAATATCCTACAAAAGAAAAATGATGAAACTATTACAAATGAAAAAAAAAAACAAATCTCCCACACTTCAGGTCAGGAACTACCCTTCTCAAAGCAATGACAGCAAAACAAAAATCAATTTAAATCTAAGTCTACCATGGGCTTAAATGACTCTATGTGAGATATTAACAGAGATCGGGAGTACAAACCTTTTTTGGCATTTTTCAAAATGAAATATAACTAGATATTTGTTGGTTTGTTGTAGAGAGGGACAAGGGAAAAATCAGTCTACTTGTGAAAATACATGACCTGTATTGATAGGACATCCTATTGGTAACTATAATTAAAACAAACATGTTTAGGCAGGAGTACATCATACATTTCTTCAAGTTCTAATTAAAAGGCTATATCTCATTGAATTCATAATTTTAATAAAATACAATAAACAAAAACTGATTCTAAAATTCTGATAAACATTCTTCTCAACATAGCCTGTCCCTGCTTTTGGTATAAAAATATTTCAGGTATTCAAAGCATAATATCCATAACCCTGAACTCAACATTTACAACAAATATCCTACGTCAGGTTCTGTGCTGAACAATTTTAGAAATTAATTAAAAGAACCCACAAGTTCATGAACATCACTCACAAATAAACCAGTAGCATGGCTCCCATTACCATGATAAACCGACTAAAAGAAGAATAGAAGTAAACAATGCTAAGGAGAATGGCAGCACGTGAGAATGTGTACATCCAGTCTAGCCAGTCACGATTGAAGTCTTCTTCATTTAGCACTGGACCTCCCTGTGCATTCATTTGAACATTCTCATTCATGGGTCGATTTTCTTGGGCCACAAGGTTTGGGGGTGGTGGGGGTTCTTCTCCAGGAACATGTGGCAAATTTAGAGGCTGTGATACAGCAGGCTGGGCTGGGTTAGCAGTTGATGTGGCCTGAGCTGAAACTGCAGCTTGACTGAAATATTCACCAAAAAAAAAAAAAAAAAAAAAATTAATGAACAAAAAGCTTTACCATACTATATTTTTTAAAGACTTCCTATGGAATTAAGATATTCTTCATAAACCTAATATGGAGTATCAAAACTCCTGTACCATATTTTTTAGGTAAGTGCAAATTCCAGTGGAAAAGTGGAGCCAAGATTGATCCATGTGCAGCTAAGGAAAAGATGCTCTCTCAGTCTAGTAGTCAAAGATGACAAGGGAGAGGTGGAAGAAATAAGAATAGCCACATTCACCACTCTTCTTTTTCATTAAATTACCTTATAAACTAATTATAAGCTATCTCTTCATGTAGACCTGCTGCCATCCAGTAAAACTCTCCTATGTCTTCTCCTCTTGAATTTATAAAATGTTTTACTAGCAAAAGCATCTGAATACTAATAAATGTAATAAGGGGAGGAGCCAAGGCCAGGTTTACCTCATGTGAACTAGAGGTGAACCCTTTTTCCTTTAGACAAGTAAATTTAAAATAAAGTATCTGCTGAGATGTTCCTGAATTCTTTCTCATAATTTTGAATAACTGATTAAATACATAAGCAGATAAAATCCCAAATCAACTTACTTAGGATAAAATACAAAATAAAGCAAGTAACAGTGAATAACTGAAAAAAAAAAAATGAACTCAGATTAACTTACTATTGCATATAATACTGATGAGCATACATCTGTTGCCACCACAGCATCTGCAGTGGGCTGAAAGCAGGATACACTGGGATTGCAGGTGCTACAGCTTGTCCAGGAAACTGGTTGTCTATGTTTCTGCAATAAAGAAATGAAAAAAATACAGTATTTCAATGCTTCAAGAGTTAAAAGCACTTCTTCTCAATTTTTATTTCTGAATTCAAGTCAACCATTATCAAAATGTTTCAAATCATACGGGAAAGAAAAATTTTCAACATTCTTCAAATAAGACCATGCAACCTATGACCAAGTATATAGATAAAGCAAGTCATTCACAATGTGTGTAGCAAGCCTGAACATTTCCTATCTTCTCATCTCAGCCCATAAAGCCAAAAAGTACTTTATGTACATTCTCCTTAAGAACCAAAGTCCTAAAATAAATTTCATGACAAAATGTCTTGAGGAATGAGAAAATGAGCCAAATGAAATTTTATATTAGCTTAAAATATTATTAAAAATGTCAGCCGGATGCAATGGTGCATGCCTGTAATTCCAGCGGCTCAAGAGGATGAGGCAGGAGTTCAAAGCCAGTCTCAGCAACTTAGTGAGGCTTTAAGAAACTTGGCGAGACCATCTGTAAATAATATAAAAAGGGCTAGGGATGTGACTCAGTGGTTAAGTGCCCATGAGTTAATCCCTAGTACCAATATATATATATATATATATATATATATATATATATATATATATACACACACACACACATATATACATACATACACACACACACACACGAGCTAATTAGTTGCAAAATAAAAATGAAGATGACAAAAATCTGTGAAATACATTTAAAGAGCCAAGAGTGGCCTAAATGTTGTGCGCATATAGAAAGTGTGTGTACACATACGTATCTTTAAATCTATACGTAATTGGGGAGAGGTTCCTGTGGTGGGTGCTCAAACACTGAACCACATTCCCACCTACCCCTTTTTACTTTTTAAGACAGGGTCTAAGTTGCTTAGGGCCTCAAAAAGTTGCTGAGGCTAACCTCAAACTTGCAATCCACCTGCCTAACCCTCCTAAGTCACTGGGATTATAGAGATGTACCACACTTGGCTATGCATATATTTTTAAAGCTTAAAATTCTATTAATTCAGTAAGCTTGTGGAGAAACTCATTTAAATTCATTATTTCGGGAGGGGAGGGAAGGGGGGATAGTAGAGGATAGGAAAGGCAGCAGAACACAACAGACACTAGTATGGCAATATGTAAATCAATGGATGTGTAACTGATGTGATTCTGCAATCTGTATACGGGGTAAAAATGGGATTTCATAACCCACTTGAATCAAAGTGTGAAATATGATATATCAAGAACTATGTAATGTTTTGAACAACCAACAATAAAAAAATTTAAAAATTTAAAAAATTAAAAAAAATAAATTCATTATTTCATTATGCCAAAGTTTCTCCATTTCTTTCTTTTTTTTTTGTAGTTGTAGATGGACAGCATACCTTTATTTATTTTTATGTGGTGCTGAGGATTGAACCCAGTGTCTCACACATGCAAGGCAAGTAAGTGCTCTGCCACTAAGCTACAGCCCCAGCTCAGTTTCTCCATTTCTAAAATGAAGCTAATAACAGAATCTTCCACAGAGGGTTGTTACCTACATTCCATAAATGTCAGCCTAGTTTTGTTTTTAATTCCCCACAATCCCTATCTCAGAACATGTCTCCAAAGTGTGTAATGTGAGATCTGTAGAAATTCATATATATCCAGACAACTATGGGGATACACATATAAGTAAGCGCAGAATTTATGAATTTGCTAACTCTCCTTCATATTACTTGAATTTTTTAAAAAAATTTTTAGTTGTACACTGACACAATACCTTTATCTTATTTACTTATTTTTATGTGGTGCCAAAGATAGAAATCAGTGCCTCACAAGTACTAGGCAAGAGTTCCATCACTGAGCCACAACCCTATTACTTGAGTTTTATCTTGGACTGATAGTAGTTTGTTTACCCAGTGTGTGATGAGTAATTAATGATAATTATATATTCTAAAAACCATTTACACATACAATTGGTAATAGTTGATAATAGAGATCTAATTTAGAACAGCTGGGGGTAAGGGCTAAAACTTACCAAGAGGCTGTACTTTAGGAAACCTGGTGCTAAATGAGACACAAATACTCATTTCCATATTCTTCAATGTTCCCTATGTATTACTGAAACTTTCCTTATCCTTGAAGGAGTAATGGGAGCCAATATGAGTCTCCTGATAACAGTTTTCCCCCTACTTCCTAAGCTTTCCTGAATACTCAATTAAGATGGAAAAGCAGAGAAGCTTTCTTAAAGTGGCTCCGGGCAATTGACAAGTCCTGTATAAGAAGGGAAAATAAAACCTTAACACAGCTCTTCCCTTAAAAAGATGTGAATTGTTGAACAAACCTAGAAAGAAAACCAGGGAAGAGAAATATTATAAAAAAATTTCTACAAAGATCTCAGCATTTATAAAACAGGAAGCTGATACTTCTCTGAAAACTATCTAAAGCAAGTACTACCAGTAAGATGGTTTCCAATGAGGAAAAACCACCCCCTTCCTCTGAAAGCATAGCTCCACCAATCTCTACTATAAATAAGAAACACAACCTCAAACAAATCTGTTACTTGAAGTTGAAAAATGGGGAGACTGAACTTGGTCATTGTTTTTTAAAGTAGACAGAAGAAAAGCCACAAATAATCACTCAAAAATTTTTCTATAGCTTCCCACCTCACCCTATTACAGTCCAAAACACAAGGCAATTATTGAACACATGTTGCCAAACTAAATGAACTCCCCTAGATGATTCTTACATGCTTTCTTCCTTTTATTCCAATAAATTAAAAACTACTAGCTGGGCAAGGTGGGGCAGGCCTATGATCCCAGAAACTCAGGAGGCTGAGGTAACAGGATCCCCCGAGTTCGAAGCCAGTCTCATCAACTGTTAAACAAGGACCTAAACAACTCAGTAAGACTCTGACTCAAAATAAAAAATAAAAAGGGCTAAAGATGTGGTTCAGTGGCAAAGAGTCTCTAGGTTCAATGCCCAGTACAAAAAAAAAAAAAAAAAAAAAAACTACTGAACTATACAGAATTGCTAAAATACATTCCAGGCTCAAGCTGGCATACTATAATTTTCAATTGTGCTTATTACCTTTCAGATAACATGATACACATTTAGCACCCTCCATAAAAACAAGAATTAAATCATTGGATATTAAATTACAAGTTAATATTAAAGTATATAAAAAGAAATCAATGAAACATATAAGAATTTAATATATTTTGGAGGATGCATCATTAAACAAGAAGGAAATTATCTGGTGCTAGAAAAAGTGATCACCAAAGTTGGTGGTAGGGAAAGGGAAATTTAAATGCTTCACTTTTTTCCATTTGTTCAGATAAATTTCAAGTAGACTAAAATAAAGTAATAAAGAGATCATCTAAAAGAAAATGAGAATTATTTACCAAAATTTTGGACGAAGAGCTTTCCTAATTTAAAAAGCAATAGGAACAAACAGCATAGACACACAAAAAGCAACATATTGGACATCAAAATTTACAGAGAACTTTTTTTTTTTTTTTTGGAGGAAGAGAGTGCTGTTTTATTTTTTTTTTTTTAATTTTTTATTGTTGGTTGTTCAAAACATTACATAGTTCTTGATATATCATATTTCACACTTTGATTCAAGTGGGTTATGAACTCCCATTTTTACCCCATATACAGATTGCAGAATCACATCAGTTACACATCCATTGATTTACATATTGCCATACTAGTGTCTGTTGTGTTCTGCTGCCTTTCCTATCCTCTACTATCCCCCCTCCCCTCCCCCTCTTCTCTCTCTACCCCCTCTACTGTCATTCATTTCTCCCCCTTGTATTATTTTTCCCTTTCCCCTCACTTCCTCTTGTATGTACTTTTGTATAACCCTGAGGGTCTCCTTCCATTTCCATGCAATTTCCCTTCTCTCTCCCTTTCCCTCCCACCTCTCATCCCTGTTTAATGTTAATCTTCTTCTCCTACTCTGTTCTTAGTTACTCTCCTTATATCAAAGAAGACATTTGGCATTTGTTTTTTAGGGATTGGCTAGCTTCACTTAGCATAATCTGCTCTAATGCCATCCATTTCCCTGCAAATTCTATGATGTTGTCATTTTTTAATGCAGAGTAATACTCCATTGTGTATAAATGCCACATTTTTTTTTATCCATTCGTCTATTGAAGGGCATCTAGGTTGGTTCCACAGTCTAGCTATTGTGAATTGTGCTGCTATGAACATCAATGTAGCTGTATCCCTATAATACGCTCTTTTAAGGTCTTTGGGGAATAGTCCGAGAAGGGGAATAGCTGGGTCAAATGGTGGTTCCATTCCCGAGGAGCTGATTGGCTCCTCGGCCCCAGCAACATCTAGCTGATTGGCTCCTCTGCGGTGATGCTCATTGGGCTGTTTCCCTGCCCTTTCAGACCACGGAGCTGCTCATTGGGGGACTTTTTTCGCTCCGCCCACGTGACCCAGCCAATCGGCCTCAAGAGCAGGAGGATTGTGGGAGGTGGAGAGAAGCTTGTGGGGGAGAGAGAGGCTTGTGGAAAGCCGGTGGTGGCAGTTGAGGCTCTGAGGGTTTTTCCTGAGAGGCTGTTTTGTTTGGCGTGTGTGGTTCTAAAAATAAAGTTAGTTTCTTTTGACAAGTGGCTCCTGATTGTGCCCAGCCAGACTGCGGCATTTGGTGGCTAGCACGGGGAGCGACTGAGGGTAAGTGAACTGCTCGCCCCTGAGGGCAGGGCGAGAGGATGGGTAGCCATTTTAAGATTCTTCTTTTGTTATTTTGTTTCACTTTTGTTTTAAGTTGCCGGTCCCTGGAGATGTGTAAGATGGAAGAAAAACCGCTCACATCTGAGGAACAGATAGGGAGAAAGGACGGATGGACATTTCAGGAGGCTATTATAATGATTTTGTGTTATTCCAATTTTGTTTCACTCTGTTTCAGTTTTGTTAGGCGTTATCTTGTTGGGTTGTATTATAGTAGAAATACGGGATCAGAAATTAGTAAAAAACAAACTGAAAGAGTGTTAAGTAAATTGTTAGAGGAA